GTTCGAACCACCGACCTTCCGGTTAGCCGCTGAGCACTTAAACCACTGAGCCACCAGGGCTCCTTGGTGAGCAGAATACACCCCTCTAAAACAGCAACTGAACCTTTTTTCATTTCACAGGAAAGATTCTTTCTGGAGTTTGATTTTTTTTGTCTTTAGTTGATGTGAGTGCCTTGTGACAATGTTAGTTTTTTAAAACTTCATCATATCCTGATAATGTTTATAAATCAGATATACTGAGGCGTAATTTACCTATAATAACAGTTACCATATTTTCTAGCACAATTCGATGAGTTTTCACAAATGTATACAGTTATGTACGAATCCCTGGGTGGTACAAATGGTTAATGCACTCTGCTGCTAACTGAAAGGTTGGAGGTTTTAATCTACTCAGAGGCACCTCAGAAGAAAGTCCTGGCAATCTACTTTCAAAAAATCAGCCAGTGAGAACTCTATGGAACACAGTTCTACTCTGATACACATGGGGTCACTATGAGTCGGAATCGACTGCATGGCAACTGGGACGTGTGTATATGTAAAGTTAGGCTATTCTGGATAGTGACAATGGGATGGGTGCTGGGCATTCAAGTTTTTGATAAGCTCCCTGGGAAATTCGAGAACCTCTGTGGAACCAATGAGATGATTCATCTCCTGAGTGTTCAGGAGAGGGAACTGATGTCTGGAAAATTACATGTAAGTGATAATTGCAGTAGCCATAACATTATACTAATCACTAATACATACAGCTGGACTATATGAAGAAGAATGGGGCGTCAGGATTGGAGGAAGATTCATTAATAACCTGTGATATGCAGATGACACAACCTTGCTTGCTGAGGACTTGCAGCACTGATGAAGATCAAAGACTACAGCCTTCAGTATGGATTACACCTCAACATAAAGAAAACAAAGATCCTCACAACTGGACCAATAAGCAACATCATGATAAATGGAGAAAAGATTGAAGATGTCAAGAATTTCATTTTACTTGGATCCACAATCAAAACCCATAGAAGCAGCAGTCAAGAAATCAAACGACACATTGCACTGGGCAAATCTGCTGCAAAAGACCTCTTTAAAGTGTTGAAAAGCAAAGACGTCACCTTGAAGATTAAGGTGCGCCTGACCCAAGCCATGGTGTTTTCAATTGCCTCATATTCATGTGAAAGCTGGACAATGAATAAGGAAGACCGAAGAATTGACGCCTTTGAACTGTGGTGTTGGCGAAGAATATTGAATATACCATGGACTGCCAAAACAATGAACAAATCTGCCTTGGAAGAAGTCCAATCAGAATGCTCCTTAGAAGCAAGGATGGCAAGACTACATCTCACATACTTTGGACATGTTATCAGGAAGGACCAGTCCCTGGAGAAGGACATCATGCTTAGTAAAGTAGAGGGCCAACAAAAAAGAGGAGGACCTCAACAAGATGGACTGACACAGTGGCTGCAACAATGGGCTCAAGCATAACAAGGATTGTGAGCATGGCGCAGGACAGAGCAGTGTTTCGTTCTGTTGTACACAGGGTCACTATGAATCAGAACTGATTTGATGGCACCCAACAGCAACAAAAACAATACATACAGAACATTTACTATGTACCAAAAGCAAAAAAAAAAAAAAACAAACCTATTGCCATCAAGTCGATGCCGACTCATAATGACCCTACAGGACAGAGTAGAACTGCCCCATAGGGTTTCCAAGGAACGGCTGGTGGACTTGAACGGCTGATCTTTTGGTTAGCAGCCATAGCTCACCATAGCTCTTAACCACTGTGCCACCAGGGCTTTTTACTGTGTACCAGGCAGTGTTATATGTGCTTTCATTATATCACATACCCACATCGTAGGTACTATTATCCCCGCTTTACAGACAGGAGCCTGAGGTTCAGGGAGGTTAAGTAACTTGCTCAAGATCACACAGCTAGTAGGCAGCAAAGCCAGCAGTCTGCTCCCAGAGTTCTTACCCTTAATCCCTGTGGTATACTGCTTTGATTTGTATAATTTATATGTTTTCTTCATATTGTAGAACTTTTGACACATTGAATTTATACCCTTATACTCCAGGATAAAGTGAAACTGCCCTCATGGAGGACAATGTCTGTTGTCTTGTGCATTTTACCAGATTCTGAGGAATTCCTAAGAGCTGGGTACTATGCAAAATACTTTATGCATGATCTCCCCTAATCCTCTCAAGGAGCCCTGGTGGTGCAGTTGTTAAGCTCTCTGCTGCTAACAAGAAGATCAGCAGTTCAAATATACCCGGTGGCTTCTCAGGAGAAAACACCTGGTGATCTGCCCAAACCAAACCCATTGCCCTGGAAGGGATTCCGACTCATAGCAACCCTATAGGACGGAGTAGAACTCCCCCATAGGGTTTCCAAGGAGCGGCGGGTGGGCTTGAACTGCCAACCTTTTGGTTAGCAGCCGAGCTCTTAACCACTGCGCCATCAGGGCTCCATCCTGTAAAGATTCCAGCCTAGGAAACCCTATGGGGCAGTTCTACATGTCACATGGGTCGGTGGGAGTCGGAATCAGCTAGACAGCACACAACGAAAAACACCAATCCTCTCAGTAATTCTCTGAGGTAGATATTCTTATTCCACTTTATAGCTGAGGAAACTGAGGCTTAGAATATCAAGTGACCTATTCTGTGTCACACAGTTAGCAAATTGCAGAGCAGCGATTTTAAACTGGTGAGTCTGACTGCAAATCCCAGGCTCCTTGGTGTTTATACGACACAGGTTTTTAATTCATCCGCTTGAAATCCTCCGCCTCTCCCAGCTGTCAGACACACACGGAAGAGAGGAGAGCTTTCAACGTGGGCCTGTGTATTCCTTCATCTCTTCCTGGACCAGCAGACCCTTCTCCCCCGTGAGCACCCCACCTCCCAGGCCCCAGGACTGACCTTCATCATAGTGTTGAATGGTGTAAGTTGACAGGATCGCGGGCGCGCCGTTGACGGCACACTCTTTCCCAGATGGCGCCTGAAACACAACGCGTAGCGTTAGTGGAGTCTTCTAGGAAAATCAGAAGAACTGATTGCCTCCAGGCCACTAGAGTGCCTCACAAAAATTAAACTTAATTTAAATGCTACGTTTCCAGAAACTACAGGGTTGTCTGTCATGCCTCAGGAAAACAAAATAACCCCCTCCAAGAATGGGCTTCCTGTTATCAAAAGGGCACTCCACTGTTCATGGTTTAGCTCACGTAGCCCTCATAACCACAGGGAGGTACCCATCCCATTTTACGGAAGGGACACTGAGGCCCCGATGGGGCACTTGTCCAATAAGTGATGGAACAAGAATGTTAACTCACTGATCTGGAAACCTGTGAGGTTAAGCTCACTCCGCTGTCATCCGCACACAATCGTTGGCCTGTCTTTAGTCAACAAACTTGTCAGACGCAGGAAGTTGGTTGTTGTCCTTCTTCCCCTGCTCCGCACCCTCAGTGAATGGTGACTGCCGGAAGCGTGAGGCCCACTTTGTAAGCATTTCACTTTTCAGCCTGTTTCTTCAAGCCCAACCTGCTCTGAGCAGGAATTCCCTCTACACTGTGACTAATACCAGTTCACAGGTATTACAGTGAAACCTGAGAGCCAAACAGGACTGCTTTGTTTTCCCAGGTCGCGTAAGTTTTCTGCCTTTGACAGGGTGCAGTCTTTGCCCTTTCTATGGCTCTCTGTGGGTGGAAAAGATTGGCGGTTTCCTTCTCTGGGAGGTTTCCACCTTACACAGGTTCCAGCTTCCACAGGTTTCACTGTATCTTCCTTCTATAGGGATTTTCATGTTTTAACAAGGCTCCAAGTCTTAAACTGGACTGATTTACATAAGTACCAAAACCCATTGCTGTTGAGTGGATTCTGACTCTTAGGGACCCTATAGGACAGAGTAGAACTGCTCCGTAGGGTTTCCAAGGCTGTAAATCTTTAGGGAAGCAGACTGCCACATTTTTCTCTCCTGGAGCAGCTGGTGGGTTTGAACTGCTGACTGCTCAGTTAGCAGCCGAGTGCTTTAACCACTGTGCCATCAGGGCTCCCTGATATAAGTACTGATGGAGGAAATTTAGGCTTTCTGCTACGTGGTCGTAGAAGCTCTAAGTATTTTGGTCCCCCTGGTCTGGGTCCCTGAGCGCCATCCTCTAAAAGAAGGATTCCCAGCTGTGTGGCTCTCCATCCTGGCTGCTCATTGCAATAGCTGAAGAGCTTTGAAGATACTGACGCCTGCTTGCGCTCCCACATCTCCTGGGTTCATCCATCTGGGAGCAGCTTAGGCATCGGGATGTTTTAAAGCTTCCCAGGTGAGTCTATGGGCAGCTAAGGCTGAGGACTACTGCTCTAGATTGGGGTTCTCAACCCACTGTTGTCGTCGTGAAGATTCTCTGGCGTGGGGGCCTTCTGTGCGTTGTAGGATGTTTAGCAGCATCCTTGGCCTTACCACTCCACCCTACAAGCCATTAACAACCAAAAACGTCTCCAGATATTACCAAACACCCCCTGAGTGGGGCAGAATCACAGCCGGCTGAGAACCACTGGCCTAAAGCCACCTGGGGGCAGGCGCCATATTGGCTCTGTCAGAATCACCTGTGGAGATAGTGAAGCTGCTGCTCCAGAGACTCGCACCCCTGCCATTTCAGATTCAGTGAGTGTGAGGTGGCGCCTCAGAACCTGCATTGTTAACAAGCTCCTTGATGGATTCCAGAGGTTGAATATAACTGAACAGCCCGTGGAAATAGCAACCCATCACCAACCAGCCCTGTGTGATGGGCATGTGTGGGCAGCTTATTCCTCTGTCATCTCTGACACCACCTACTGATAGCTAAGGCTCTTGGGACTGGACTGCTACCTGGTTAGTGACTGTCTCCGATTTGTCCTCTTGGTCTTCAACGCTTTGTGGAACACTCATTTGGTTACCCATTGTTGCTGCAGTAGAGAAAGAGAGACAGAGATCAAACCCTGAAATGAAGTGACAGAAGTCTTCCTTCTACAGTAAAGCCAACGTGTAGAGATCCAATGAGTCACTTGTGGGTGTATTATCACAAGTCCAGGGTAGAACAAATTGTGTATATTTGTCTTGGGGAATGATTGGGGAATCGGGGCTTTCAGAGTCAGCAGAATCAATGTCAACTGCCGCCCCAATGTTCAACTGCATTTCATTGCTGGGGGAAAAAATTTATCATCATGTTACCATCATGCAAAGGGTATTCAGTAGAGACAACATTTCTTCCCTCTTAGCTGAAGTCATAACTATTATATCAAGGCAACTTTAGAGTGAGGATAATTTCAAAATGATACTTATAATTCTTTGGTTTCTTAGAGCTAAAAACTAAGTTAGATCTCCCTGCGAAAACCTCTCCTAGCACTCCTGTTTTTTTTTTTTCATAGCACTCAGCACTGCTTATAGTTATATAGCGTGGAAACTGTGAGAGTTTCAACTCAAGGGGACTGCCTTGTTTTACCCAGGCTTGCTAGTTCTCCACCTTTGACAGGATGCAGTCTTACTACTTTTCTATCATTCCTTTTAGTGGAAAATATTTGAGTTTTCCTTCTCTGAAAACTTGAAAGCGACCCATTAGGCACTCGCATTCCACGTCCAGCACGACGCAAGCAAGTGGACTTCTTACCTATTTAAAGTTTGCGAACAGGTTGAGATCGTTTCGGCCCAAAGACTTGTACTCATTAGCTTTACCGGATAAAACTGCATGGGTTTGACTGTGCGAGAGCGTGAGCTATCCTGAAGGAAACTTCTCAGGTAACCGGCTACCAGATGGTTGGATTAGTCTTTTGCCAGGGGGCCCTGGTGGTGCAGTGGTTAAGTGTTTGGCTGCTAACTGAAAGGTCAGCAGTTCGAATCATCAGCTGCTCCTTGGAAACCCTGCGGGGCGGTCTTACTCTGTCCCATAGGGTCGCTGTGAGTCAGAATCCACTAGACGGCAACGGGTTTTCTTTGCCAGGTTTTTGCCTTACACAGGTTCTGGCTTTTCCAGGTTTTATGCATTTACTTGGGTATTTTTTTTATTCATTCATTCATTCATTCAACAAATACATATTGAGCGCCAACTTTGCCAGGCCTTGAGGTTACAGCAGTGAATTAAACAGACAAGGTCTCATGACTTCAGAGCTGAAATCTGGTGGGCAGACAAATAGACAATAAATCCACAAACAAGGCCATTTCTGATAGTTCAAGGCAGCATGGTGCAGTGGTTACAAGCTTAGAGCATGGAGCAAGACTGCCTAAGTCTGAACCTTCCCTCTGCCCCTCATAGCTGCGTGTCCTTGGGAGAGTTACTTAACCTCTCTGTGCCCCATAGGACTGCTACAAGTCTCCAGTGAGTTAGGGCATGTAAAGCGGTTAAAACTATGTATGACTAACCCGTTACCCGTTGCTGTCAAGTAGATTCTGACTCATAGCGACCCTACAGGACAGAGTAGAACTGCCCCATAGAGTTTCCAAGGAGCGGCTGGTGGATTCGAACTGCCGATCTTTCGGTTAAGCAGCCATAGCTCTTAACTACTACGCCACCAGGGTTTCCGTATGACTCATAGTCTGCAATATATAAGCATGTGTTAAAAACAGTGCGGTGTTTTTTGCTATGAATAAAAGAAAATTGGAAACATAACAAGAGTTGGGGTGGGGCATGATAGAGGCGGGGGTGGCGACTCTAGGTAGCGTGGTTCTGGGATGAAGTAACATTTGACCCAGACTTGGAGGGCCAAACAGGATATTTAATTTATGTCTTCCTTTCCCAATTAATTGTAAGCACCATGAGGCCAGGAGCTGTGCCTGCCTTTAACCACCATTGTTATCTCCTATGCTCAGCCCTACGTTTGCCTTTATTAGGAGCACACTTATTTTTTTTATTGTTTATTGTACTTTCGATGAAGGTTTACAGAAAAAATAGTTTCTCGTTAAACAGTACACATATTGTTTTATGACATTGGTTAACAACTCCACAACATGACAACACTGTCTCTTTTCAACCTTGGGTCCCCATTACCAGCTTCCTTGTCCCCTCCTGCCTTCTAGTCCTTGTCCCTGGGCTGGTGTGCCCCATTAGTCTCATTTTGTTTTATGAGGCTATCTAATCTTTGGCTGAAGAATGAACCTTGGGAATGACTTCATTACTGAGCTAAAAGGGTGTCTGGGGGCCATACTCTCAGGGTTTCTCCAGTCTCTGTCAGGCCAGTAAGTCTGGTCTTTTTCTGTGAGTTAGAATTTCATTCTACATTTTTCTCCAGCTCTGTCCAAGACCCTCTGTTGTGGTCCCGGTCAGAGCAGTCAGTCTGATGGAGGCCGTGGTAGTTGTGGTCCATTAGTCCTTTGGACTAATCTTTCCCTTGTGTCTTGTTTTCTTCATTCTTCCTTGATGGACTGACTAATCATTGGTAACTCCCTGTCACATGCCAGACATATGACCCATGTCATTGCTGACCCCTCGAAAGCCTTGCTGTAACACCAGAGATAACAGTAATGGTTACTTAGCACGTTTCAGCATCACCCACTGTTTTCCAAGTGCCTTGTTTGCATCATCTCATTGAGTCCTACAGCTCCCCTGTGAAATAGGTATTATCACAACCTTACTCTAGACGCAAGAAACTATTAAATTATTTTCCAAAGTGACACAGTTAATGAGGAGCAAGAGTCCAACACAGGCTGTCTGTGCTCCTAACTGCTAGAATGTTCTGCAAATTATTAGCTCGGCTTGGAAAGGGGGGTGGATTGAGTCTCAAAAACTCACCCAAGGACACACATCCAGAAAGTGGCCAAATGAAGATTCGACCCCGAGTGTGTCTTTCCAGAACGAGGGCTCTTTCAGCCCCTCCAAAGGCCTGCTGCCTCGCTACCTGGAGTTTCTTCCATTACACACATTCCAGGGCAGCCCGTTTCCAAAGACCTGGTCTCTGGCTTATCTGCTCCAGTGGAGCTCAGAATAAAATCGGGACTTTTGATTTCCAGCTGAAAGCAGCCAGAGCCTCTCCACAGAGTCCTGTGGGTCTCTTGCCCTTGGTATAAGTTTGCCCTTGTTACTCAGAAATTAGAGAGGCCAAAAAGGAGTAGAGATCCCATCATACGCTCTCTTGAAGGAATTTGAAAGATAACCAAATCTTGGGATTGTATAAGAAGCCCTGGTGGCACTCGGCTGCTAACGAACAGTTCGGCGGTCCGAACCCACCAACCTCTCCTTGGGAGAAAGATGAGGCAGTCTGCTTTCGTAAAGGTTTACAGCCTTAGAAACCCTGCGGGGTCACTATGAGTTGGAATCGACTCGATGGCGGTGAATTTGGTTTGGGCTAGGAATTTCCTGTGTTTTCTAATCACATCACTAATAAAGCTGACCAGTGCCGAAACCTATAGAACACTGGTAAAGAATTTGTAGGTAAGTGGGACCAGGTGCACAGGGTTCTTGTTTGACTTTACTTAAAGGGTCTCTAGGAGCCGGGATCGACTCGACAGCAACAGATTTGGTTTTTGGTTTTAGCACAAGACCCTATGGGGCAGCTCTGCTCTGTCCTATAGGGTCGCTGTGAGTCAGATTCGACTCAACGGCAACAGGTTTGGTTTTTGATTGTTTTGTTTTTTGTTTTACAGGTGAGGAAACTGAGGCACGGAGGGTAAATGTGTTGGCCGAGGTCACACAGATATATGCATATATGCACACACACAATATGTGCACACACGCAGATGATGTCTCTATCTAAATTCAGCTTTCAAAAATTTAAAAATTAATATTTAACCCTGGGTTTACAATTTTTTTTATTAAACTCCTATTTTGCAGTTTAAATTCAATCCAACCTGAGGGCTATTTCAATAAAAATGTTTGAGGTTATGAAATATCTTCAAACATTTTTCTTGAAAGTAGCCCCCAGGTTGGATTGAATTTCGCTTGAATCTGTGTGACCTGTGCAGGCAGGAGAGAGATGAACTGGGGTTAGATTATCCTGATCATAGTACCTTTTATGTAGGCTCCCAGCAACTTCAGGGCCAAGTGGGCTGGAAGACAGAAAATCCAGCCACACGTCTTTGGCAGCGATCATCTGGATTCGGATACTACTGCTTTCCCACCAGCAGGTAAAATGTATCTATTGTGAGATTGCTCCTGCCCCCTCACCAAAATCTCTAAGTACATAGCAGGATTTACATGGAACAAAAGCAAAAGCTTACTGCCACCTATCGGCCAATGTCGGTACCACCAGAAATGATTTATTCAGCCTGCCAGACCCTGATGGTATACTAGTTAAGAGCTACAGCGGCTAACCAAAAGGTCGGCAGTTCAAATCCACCAGGCGCTCTTTGGAAACTATATGGGGCATTTCTACTCCGTCCTATAGGGCTGCTAGGAGTCGGAATTGACTCGACGGCAACGGGACCAGACCCTATGGGAACCCTGGTGGCGCAGTTGTTAAATGCTCCACTGCTAACCCAGAAGTCAGTGGTTCAAACTCACCAGCAGCTCCACAGGAGAAAGATGTGGCAGTCGGCTTCCGTAAAGATTTACATCCTTGGAAACCATATGGAGCAGTTCTACTCTGTCCTACAGGGTCGCTATGAGTCAGAATCGGGGGCATATGGTTTGGTTTTCGGTACCAGACCCCATTGAAGTGGAGTTGATTCCGACTCATTGTGATCCCATGTGTTACAGAGGAGAATTGTGCTCCATAGGTTTTTCTTGGCTGTGATGTTTATGGAAACAGATCACCAGGACTTTTCCTCTGCAGAGCTGCTGGGCAGGTTCAAATCCCCAAACCTTTAGGTTAGTAGCTAATCACAGAACACTTGTGCCACCCAGGGACCTTCAGCTTACCAGTGCTAGATCAGAATAACTGGGAAGGCCAACCAAACCAAATCCATTGCTGCTGAGTCGATTCCAACTCATAGTGACCCTATAGGAAAGAGTAGAACTGCTCTACAGGGTTTCC